TAAAGCAAATTGACGTAGAAAAACGTAAACAAACAAACAACTCACAAGAGTATGTTCATTAGTGTTTTATTGGTAATCAGCTTACCTTTAGGTAACCTGTTCCATTACTCAATACACCTCCTACAGCTACATCGTAGTCGCTCATGTTATTTGGCGCAGTTTCAGCAACACCGANAGCGAAAGTCTGGAGGGTCAAAAATGAATTGAAAACTTCTTTAGCTATAATATAAAGAACCATAAACAGGTGCGAATCCAGGATCTTTCTTAGGACGGGGTGAATGGCGTAACTGACTGGTAAAGTAAACAAATTTTAAAAGCAAATACGAAGAACGCTTCATCTCAGGGGGAAGAGAGCACCCATGCACCCTCTCCCTAGATGCGCCCCAAATAAAGCAAATTGACGTAGAAAAAAGTAAACAAACAAAAAACTCACAAGAGAATATTCATTAGTGTTTTATTGGTAATCAGCTTACCTTTAGGTAACCTGTTCCATTACTCAATACACCTCCTACAGCTACATCGTAGTCGCTCATGTTATTTGGCGCAGTTTCAGCAACACCGAAACCGACCCACCCTGTTGCTCTTGCTTCCAGCAAAAACTCTAGCGTATCAGAGGATGCATTGAGATTGTACGAAACATTGTAATTTCCTTCGTAACCGAGTGCGATTTTGTTAGAATACATGCAACTTTCTGTGGAGACCACATAGAGCATTGAATGAAAAATCCGAAGAACACGAGCCATTACAAGATGGATTAAATAGTGTCGCATCTTCAACAGAATGAACGCCAGCACTTGAGTTACGCCTACCTGTCTTGAGTCTGTCGCACGATCAATATATTTTATGTCCACTTTTTTGTGATTTAACTATAAGCACTCTGTTTATGTTTCAACCAGCCTCTCTTTAATTGCGTATATTGAAGTCTGTCGGCAAACTCAGATATTGAAATCAAAACCGATTTATAAATCGGGAAAACCGCAAAGATTGTGTGTTATGTCCTTTGCTGGGTTTGAATTTAAAACTTCGCTCGTTCGCATTTGCAATTTATTTTTCTTTTCCACACTTAATCATGATTTTAGCGCGATTTCTATGATGTTATTGTCTGCAAATAGGGCATCCCTTTACTCCCGTCACTGCGTGCCTGTGCAGAGAGCTTAAGCAAACCACGACGGCCATGGCACCGCGCGAGAACGCCAACAAACAAAAGGTTCAATGAGTGGAACAATTGCTGTGCATGTGCGTTACAAATCTTTGCACATTTCTTTGCCTTCTACAAAACAACAACGTGAAATGACTAAGTTCTGCGTCTTTTGGAGAACGGGAACGACGGCAGCTAATTTACGTATTTTCATTTGGAATTAATCGCTGGCGTTACATATTTAGCAAGTATGACCAATAGGCGAGTAAACAGATCTAGACAATTGCTAAATTCGAAGGTAGAATATATATTAATTTTTTACTAGGCGTTGTATGCGGGGTCGCCGTCGTCATTGCTTAAGCTCTCCAGTTACTGTTTCATTTAGGGGCCTGTTTCAAACTTCTGCGCATGTCCAGCATTTGATTTAATAGACCGACGGCCCAATGATATAAGTTGCCTTCTCCGAGGAAAATCGTTCTCCATTGACCTTGTGAGGGATGGTGTGAAAGTTGTAGTGACGGTATTAAAGAAATTACCTGCCATTTTTGTAGGGTCCAGTAAAGCATATGAAGGACTGTAGAGAAATTTTTGATGTCCTCGAGGGGAGGTACACGAAGCAGCACGTTCCGTAGCAAGGATCAAACTTTCCAAAGACAAAGGGATATTATGAAAATATACGAAAAAAATCTCTGATTATTCTGGGTGGCGCCTGGTACCAAGCCGTTCAATTTCTATTGGTTAAAAACCTTCTAATGGACCCTCAAGTGTCTTTCAAAGTCGTACAGGCGCATTATCGTGAAAGAGGCCCTTAAACCATGTGAGCTTGTTGTGGGCTACCGTTGTCTAGTGTGGAACCTGGGTCGGGTTGAATTCGACGGACGTAAGTGACGTAACAAATATGCATTAGTTATAATCTTTGATTGAAGGTTCGATTCTAAGAGAAATCACCGGGGGTACGCTAATAAAGAAAGAACCTAACACAACGCGTTACTCTTATTAAAACCAGCCAAAAGGTATCAAAATATGTATAATGACCCACTCTCAAGGGTTTGGCTGGGAAATAAGATGACTCCCTTTTTAGAGTTCCAGTTACTGTTCGACTGCAGCCGATAAACTAACAACAGATCTGAGTGGAAATTTTACCAATCTGAAAAAGCAGTAAGCCTCGCATAGACATTCAAAAAGGTACAGGAAATCGGAAACTTCAGAACATACTAGCTCCGAAATGCTCCGAAGCATATTAACACGGATTGAGCTGAGACATGATGATTTTCCATGGATACCACTGGAAAGTAAATTTACTGTTTGAGGTTATTGCTAACGCTGCAAGAGCAGAGCTGACCATAGAGTTCGTTGCGTTGTGGATTATACTTTGCGTGAATAAGGTCCGTGTTCCTAAACTTAAATTGAATGGGTGGTTTGTTGTATCAGCTTAAGCAAGTAGGGTTCAAGCTCTTTTGAGCTCCAAATAACAGACGTGAACAGGGCTTAGCCTGGGAACGAGGTATTTAAAGATTTGTTCATTCCCGTTCCTATAGCCCTGTTCGCTTCTCTTAGCCGGCGCGGCCTTGGCGCGAGAAACGAGGGCTGGAGACAAAGGATTTCCCAGTCCTAGATTTTTGGACTTCCGTTCTTTATGTATGCAGTCGTAATGTTTCGGAGAATGTCAATGGCGGCCGTCGAGGCAGGATTCGAGAAATCTTTATCTCAGACCTTAAGTGGTATCAATTTGGAGAATGTTTTCGTCAGAGTGAAACAGATAGAGGCGATAAGGAACATTGTGATTTTAAAGAAAGAGACTATTTAATTTTGTTTTTTACCGACAGTCATTGATTTTCCAGTTATTGCCCTTTTTCTTTGACTCGTGGCATAGAGCAACTGAATCGTTTCTTTTCGTTGTTTCACTTTTAAATGCCTTGATGCGAGACCAGACCGTGAAGATAAACGAATTGCAGGTCAGCTGTCTAATGGTCCTTCATTTTAAACATAGCTGACCACAGCTGTTTCATATTTTCGCGACTGCAATCCGCGCGAACATTTTAACTTCCGTTCAAGATTTCTTTGTTTTCAAACAGCCAATCAAAAAAATTCGAATCAATTCGAAAATCCTATGTCCGCAGAGCCCTTTGTGGCCGCGCTGGCTAAGAGAATCGAAGAGGGCTATGGGAACGAGAATGAGGTTTGGTAATTAGCCATTTCTGATTTGCCTTTACCTCTATTTCAAAAGACTCAAAAGGAGTCTTGGTGCACAACCTTTTATATGGAAATGAGATTTTCTTGCCCGTTCATTGTCTTGCAAAATCCAACTCATTTTCATGTGAAGGTTGTGCACCAGAACTGAACTCGTTTTGAAACAGAGGTGAAAAGCAACACGGAAATGACTTATTTAAAAGTGATGAAAATATGTAAGTCAGACACCACTGTTATAACTTCTTTATTTAAACAAAATGCTCACGAGTCGTCAATACATAACCAACAACAAAAATATGATATTAATCAGAAAATGGAAAATGGTAAAAAAATAAAATAAAATTACAAAGAGAAAAAAGGCCACACCTTTGGTATCTTCCTCCTCTACTATTCGTTTCTAAACGACGTCTTATTACAAAAGACTGTGTTTAGGATAATTTACTACATGACTAATTTAGCTGGTCAGGCTGTGGTCTTAATGGGTGCCTTGAGCAATCAAGGTTTTGCTAAGGAGTCAGCCGACCTTTCTTTTATCTTACATTACGACAAGGCTTCCCGTGTCTTGTAAAAAACGGTGGAAATTTAATTAATTCTTTTTTTACCAACATTTTACATCACCAAAACATTTAAGAATACTATTGCGGCTGCAATTAAGATTGTATTAATGCATGAATGCAGCAAGGATACTGCGGCGGCCTTGGTAGGGATAGGAGGTTTGTCAACTATAACAAGCTGCATGTCACCAACGCCCCTTGCAGCATGTCGATCAAAGTCATTAGGGCTCCTGGTGTCATCACTACCGTAGGCCCAGATTATGTACTTCTCTTCTTCGACCTGTTAACAGAAAGAGAAAAAAATCAGTTGTGCTTTCATGACGCACAAATGAAAAGGATACAATACTTTACCGTACGCAAATTCGTAGTTGGCCATTCGCAGTTACCGCTCGGTTGGGTAAACCTTCAATTAGGCATTTCTCAATTTCTTTCTTTTCATTTATTTAATTAGTCAATTCTCCGTATGGATCAAAGGAATCAGTAGTGATATATTTACTCCAGGGAGGACTCCTAAATAAAGAGGACGGGGGTGCTCATCGGAAATTTTGAAAAGAACCCCTAAGAGGTACCAAGGTCCTGTTTTGTGGGCGTGGCTCGAAAGTGTTTTCACCCCTCAGAGAGATTCAACAATTCAACACATTAACTGACACTCTCATAATTTCAAATAGCGATAAAGGCGATTGCTTCGAATAACGTTTACTCGTAAAGGTTATGAAAGCATAAAACTGTCACAAATTAGCTGTTTGTCAAATATCCCCTGTCATACTTAAGAGGTACTAAAACCGTTTTCTTTTCACCCCTGAAAGGCACGAAGAGCACCCCTCGTCCTTTTTATATGGGAGCGGATTCCCCCAGGATATTCACGATAGCTCGGTCGTAGAGCCCGCTCTGTTTGTTACGTCTCAAATACTGAACTAGAGCCTCCAAGACATAAAGATTTAACCTTACCGCAAACTGTATATCAGTGCCATCACCGGTATCACGTGGTCTCTGAAACATCAGCTCTGTGTATCCACCTATCTCTGATGCATACACCAGTTGGTAATCCTGATTGTTGTCAATTTCTGGTAGAGTTTGTCCTCGAGTGTAATAATCCTGACGAAAATGAATGTAATATG